AGTATTTTGTAGAGATGGAGTCTCTTTACATTCACCAGGCTGGTCTCAAACTTCTGGCCTCAAGTGATGCTCCCGCTTTAGATGCTTTTTGATTTTTTTTGAGATGGAGTCTCACTCTGTTGCCCAGGCTGGTGTGTGGTGGTGGGAATTCAGCTCATTGCAACCTCTGCCTCCCAGGTTCAAGTGATTCTCATGCCTCAGCCTCCTGAGGAGCTGGGATTACTGGCATGCACCACCATGCCCGACTGATTTTTTAATTTTTAGTAGAGATGGAGTTTTGCCTTGTTGGCCAGGCTGGAGTGCAATGGTGCAATCTTGGATCACTGCAACCTCTGCCTTCTAGGCTTAAGTGATTCTCCTGCCTCAGCCTCCTAAGTAGTTGGGATTATAGGCGTGCACCTCTGTGTCTGGCTAATTTTTGTATTTTTAGTAGAGATAGGGTTTCACCGTGTTGGCCAGGCTGGTCTCGAACTCCTGACCTCAGGTGGTCCGCCCACCTCGGCCTCCCAACATACTGTGTTTACAGGCGTGAGCCACTGTGCCTGGCCTCCATACTGTTTTTTATAGTGGTTGTACTAGTTTACATTCCCACTAGCAGTGTAAAAGTTTTCCATTTTCACTGCATCCACGCCAGCCTGGATGTGTTTTTTATTTGTTTGTGTCATCAATTCTTTCTTCTTTTTTGAGATGGAGGTTCGCTCTTATCACCCAGGCTGGAGTGCAATGGCACGATCTCGGCTCACTGCAACCTCCGCCTTCCGGGTTCAAGTGATTCTCCTTCCTCAGCCTCCAGAGTAGCTGGGAATACAGACACGCGCCACCATGCGCAACTAATTTTTTTATTTTTAGTAGAGATGGGGTTTCACTGTGTTGGCCAGGATGGTCTCAATCTCTTGACCTTGTGATCTGCCCGCCTCAGCCTCCCAAAGTGCTGGAATTACAGGTGTGAGCCACCGCGCCCGGCCAGTGATTTCTTTCAGCAGTGTTTTGTGGTTTCCCTTGTAGAGGTTTTTCTCCTCCTTGGTTGGGTATATTCCTAAGTATTTTATTTTATTTTTTGCAGCTGTGGTAAAAGGTGTTGCGTTCTTCATTTGGTTCTCAGCTTGGTCCCTGTTGGAGTACAGCAGTGCTGCTGATTTGTGTACGTTGATTTTGCATCCTGAAACTGTACTGAATTCATTTATCAGATGTAGGAGCTTTTTGGATGAGTCTCCAGGGTTTTCTAGGTAAACGATCCTATCATCGGCAGACAGTGACTGTTTTTCCTCTTTACCAACGTGGATGCCGTCTGTTTCTTCTCTTGTCTAATTTCTGTGGCTGGGACTCCAGAGCAGTGGTAAAAGTGAGCATCCTTGTCTTTTTCCAGTTCTAAAATGCCTTCAGCTTCTCCCTTTTCGGTATAATGTTGGCTGTGGGTTTGTCATGAATGACAGTGTCCCTTCTATGCCGATTATGCTGAGGGTTTTAATCATAAAGCGATCCTGGATTTTGTCGAATGCTTCTGCATCTTATCGAGACGATCACATGATTTTTCTTTTTAATGCTGTTTATGTGGTGTATCACATTTGTTGACTTGTGTGTGTTAAATCCTGCATCCCTGGTATGAAACCCAGCTGTATTATCTTTTTGGTATGTTGTTGGATTCGGTTAGCTAGTATTTTGTTGAAGATTTTTGCATCTGTGTTCATCAGGGATATTGGTCTGTGTTTTCTTTTTTTGTTACGTCCTTTCCTGGTTTTGGTATTAGGGTGATACTGACTTCATGGAATGATTTGGGAAGGATTCTTTCTCTATCTTTTGAAATAGTTTCAGTAGGATTAGTACCAATTCTTCTTTGAATGTCTGATAGAATTCAGCTGTGAATCCCTCAGGTCCTGGACATTTTTTTGTTGGCAGTTTTCAAATTACTGTTTCAGTCTTGCTACTTGTTACTGGTCTGTTCAGAGTTTCTGTTTCTTCCTGGTCTAATCTCAAAGGGATGTATATTTCCAGGAATTTATCCATCGCCTCCAGGTTTTCTAGTTCGTGCACATAAAGGTGTTCATAGTAGCCTTGAATGATCTTTGGTATTTCTGTGGTATTGGTTGTAATGTCTCCCATTTAGTTTCTAGTTGAGCTTATTTCGATCTTCTCTCTTCCTTTCCTGGTTAATCTCACTAGTGATCTATCGGTTTTGTTTATCTTTTCAAAGGACCAGCTTTTTGTTCCATTATCTTTTTAAGATGGAGTTTCGGGCTGGGCGCGGTGGCTCAAGCCTGTAATCCCAGCACTTTGGGAGGCTGAGACGGGCGGATCACGAGTTCAGGAGATCGAGACCATCCTGGCTAACACGGTGAAACCCCGTCTCTACTAAAAAATACAAAAAACTAGCCGGGCGAGGTGGCGGCGCCTGTAGTCCCAGCTACTCGGGAGGCTGAGACAGGAGAATGGCGTGAACCCGGGAGGCGGGGCTTGCAGTGAGCTGAGATCCGGCCACTGCACTCCAGCCTGGGCAACAGAGCGAGACTCCGTCTCAAAAAAAAAAGATGGAGTTTCCCTATGTTGCCCAGGCTGGAGTGCAATGGCGCGGTCTCGGCTCACTGCAACCTCCGCCTCCCAAGTTCAAGTGATTTTCCTGTCTCATCCTCCTGAGTAGCTGGGATTACAGTCATGCGTCACCACGCCCGGCTAATTTTGTATTTTTAGTAGAGACGGGGTTTCTCTATGTTGGTCAGGATGGTCTCGAACTCCCAACCTCAGGTAATCCGCCTGCCTCAGCCTCCCGAAGTGCTGGGGTTATAGGTGCAAGCCACTGCGCCCGGCTATCTTTTGTGTTTTTCGTATCTCATTTCATTCTGCTCTGATCCTGATTATTTGTTTTCTTCTGTTGGGTTTGGGTTTGGTTTGCTCTTGTTTCTCTGCTTCCTTGAGATGTGAGCTTAGATTGTCTGTTTGTGCTCTTTCCAACTTTTTTTTTTTGAGACTGAGTCTTACTCTGTCGCCCAGGCTGGAGTGCAGTGGTGCGATCTCGGCTCACTGCAGGCTCCACCAGGTCCGCCTCCCGGTTTCACACCATTCTCCTGCATCAACCTCCCGAGTAGCTGGAACTACAGGCACCCGCCACCACACCCAGCTAATTTTTTTGTATTTTTAGTAGAGAGGAGGTTTCACCATGTTAGCCAGGGTGGTCTCGATCTGACCTTGTGATCCACCCACCTCGGCCTCCCAAAGTGCTGGAAAGGTGTGAGCCACCACGCCCGGCCTGAGCTCCTGACATTGAAGGGAGATGTTGCTGCACTCATGTGGTGCCTGCTCTGGGGGCGAGTCCCCGTGCAGGCAGCCCCTGTGGAGCCCATCGTGCCACCTTCTCTGTTTAGTTCCTCTGGGGGCCTTTCTAGCCTTCACAACTGTGTCAAACCTCTGTCTCTCCACCCCTAGCCAGTTCCCCAGCTGGGGCAGAAAAATTTAGTTTGTGTCATTTTTTAGTCTGAAGTACTCTGTGAGCAGGTGGGTCACCTGGAGCCCAGAGAGGCGCCTGGCTGATGGGGAGGAAGCCAGAGAACGGTCGCTTCCACAGGCAGGGGAGACATCCCAGGTGCCCGTCGAGGGCCAGGAGCCTGCGGGGAGGGCCATGTGGACGGTGGGCTCAGGATCTGTGCCAAGGAGCCACCTGCAGCTCTTCTCTTCCCTTTGGGTTATTGCTGCTGAAAAGGTTTCCAGAGGTGAGAAGGTTGAGACAGGGAAAGGCTTTCTGTGGCTCGACCTGTGTTGCCAGAACAGCTGCTGAGAAAAAAGTTGAGGCAACTGATTCTGACGTTGGTAGTGTTTGGGTGCATTTGTTTCCTGTGACCATGATGGCATTGAGAATTTGTAACATTTTTACCAACTTTTGCTGATTTAGTGGCCGTACAAGGATCTTTAAAGTTTGTGTTTCTAGATTGGTTTACCTTTCATTGGTACCTGTTTTATCCAGGCATTTTACGCACATTTTCTCTCTGCAAGTGTCATTTCCCCCTTTTCCTGAGAGCAGGTAGTGCGTTCCTCCCATGGTAGTACTGCTGTGGTGTGGGGAGAGCTCACAGCTTCTGTTTCTGGGGCTTTATTTTATTTATTTATATTTTTGAGATGGAGTCTTGCTCTGTTGCCCAGGCTGGAGTGCAGTGGCATGATCTCAGCTCACTGCAACCTCCGCCTTCCAGGTTCAAGGGATCCTCCTGCCTCAGCCTCCCGAGTAGCTGGGACTACAGGCGCCCACCACCACGCCTGGCTAATTTTTGTATTTTTAGTATGGATGGGGTTTCATCATGTTGGCCAGCCTGGTCTCGAACTCCTACCTCAGGTGATCCGCTTGCCTCGACCTCCCAAAGTGCTGGGATTTCAGGTGTGAGCCACCGTGCCTGGCCTGTTTTTGGGACTTTGACTTTACACTAAGTCATTTAAGCGGGTTCAGTGTTTTTCCATCATTTTTTAAAAAAAGATATAATTAGCAAACATAAAATTCACCATTTTAAAGTACAGACCTCGGTGGCATTCAGTACATTCACTGTGTGAGCACCACCTCCAGTGGTTCCAGACGTTGTCACGGCCCAGAAGGAAGCCCAGTGCTCGTGGCAGCCACCCCCACTGTCCTCCCTCAGCTCCTCGCAGCCTCAGGCCACTCCATGTCTATGCATTTGCGGATCCTGAACACTTGATGTAAATGGAACGTCATGCGGCCTTCCCTGTGTGCTCTGTCACTCAGCCTCACGTCCTCAGGGCTCCTCTGTGTTGCAGCCTGAGCTGGGGCCTGCCTTCCTTCTTGTGGCTGAATGGCAGCCCACGTTTTGTTCAGCTGTTCATCCCTCAGTAGGCATTTGGGTTGCTCCCACCTTCTGGCCATTGCGAGTGATGCTGCTGTGAACAGCTGTGAATGGGATTTTGTGAGGGCGTGCGTTGTCCGCTCTCGGGCACATCACAGTGGCTTCTTAGTGACTGTTTTCTCATGTGAATGCTGGACCACATTCTTTGCCTTTCTTCCCCAGGAGTGTAAACAAGAATGTGAACTTGCCATTGCTGACCTGCAGAGCAGCCGTGAAGAGGAGGCTGGCCTGCAGCAGAGTCAGGTGACCCGGCAGGGCCCGCACAGGCTTGCAGCGTGGTCTCTGTTATCCCCACAGGGCACAACGGGCATCCAGGTGGGGGGGGGCGGACGCTGCCATCTTCTCTCTCTGCCTTGTCTGTTTCCACGTTCTGTGTGGGGGGCCATCAGCAGGGCGGGTGGAGGAGACACAGGTGGATGCCAGGGGTCAGGGGGCCTGGTCAGGTGCAGGCCACATGAGTGACACACTGACCTCAGGGCTGTTCGCTCTCCCTATCAGCTGCGGAGCCCCCTCCGGGTGCACTCAGTACCGTCATACAGTGAGGGAATTCGGGGTGCCGGTGCTCAGGGCGGTGGTGGGCTGTGGGGTCACTGGCAGAGGAGCTGGGTGGTGTCTTGGTGGCATCCGGGCCTCTGTGTCCTGCCCCCACCCCCAGGGGATGTCTGCTGTTGCTCTTTCTGTGTCCTCCTTACTCATTCTCATTCATTCTTCTGTGTCTCCCTGATGCGCCCTGGTTCTGACCATGGGCCTTACAGAGGCCTTCTCTCCCCGCAGGCTGTGCATGGCCTTGAACTGGAGGCGCTGCGTCTGAGTCTGAGCAACATGCACACGGTGCAGCTGGAGCTGACCCAGGCCAACCTCCAGAAGGAGAAGGAGACGGCGCTGACGGAGCTGCGGGAGATGCTCAACAGCCGGCGTGCCCAGGAGCTGGCCCTGCTGCAGAGCAGGCAGCAGCACGAGCTGGAGCTCCTCAGGGAGCAGCATGCACGGGAGAAGGAGGAGGTGGTGCTCAGGTGTGGACAGGAAGCAGGTACTGCACGGCTGGGCGGGTATGGGTGACGTGTGGGCTCGGCGTGGGCATTCTAGTGCCTCTTCCCTCTTGGGGTTGGGAGCGGGGGCACCCTAGCACTGTCTCCCCATCTCTGTTCTCATCACCTTGCCTGGCATCTGGCACCATGAGGGGGTGAACAAAGGGGGCCTTGGGTTTTCGTGGCCAGGAGGTTATTAGAGCGGGTTTCCAGGTGGTCTGTGGTAGGTGGGACCCAGGGCTGGCCTTCACCTCCTGTCTTAGATAGTCCTGTGTGTCTGGAAGCCACAGTGTCCTCAGTTTATTATTAAAGCCAGGCATCGTCACAGATGCATCCTGCTAGCCCGTGAACACTGGCACGTGTCCAGTGGGTGCCAGAGCCTGGTCGTTTCCTGGGCGGTTGGGTCACTGAAAAGGTTGGGATGGAGTGGCCTGAGCTGCTTTTTGTTTTTCTTACAGCCGAGCTGAAGGAGAAGTTACAATCAGAAATGGAGAAAAACGCCCAGATCGTAAAGGTACCCAGGACTGATTCTAAAATGCACGCCTCTGTGTATGTTGTTTTTCCTTTCTCACCAGCTCCCACGAGAACGCTCCTCGTCTTGAATCAGACAGAAGCCAGTCGAGGCTTGATTAGAATATGCTGGTTGAAAGTGTATTGCATTCTTCGTTTATATCATTTGTCAGAAAACTTGTTGTTTCACATTGACTTGTAGAACATAAAGGCACTGATCTGCCCTTCCATGCTGGCTTCTGAGTGGCCCCTGTGGCCTGCCCCTGAGCTGTGTTCTGGGACACAGCTTCTGCCCTCGTGGCTGTGGCAGTTCCCTGCGGTGCATAGGGTGTGGGTGCTGGGGTGCTGGGGAGAATACCACACAGGGAGGTGTTTTGGGTGGGGTGGGTTGCACCTGCTGTGGGTGGCCTCACTGGGGACCACTGGGGACCACAGGTAGCAGTGCCCCGTCATTGCCTGGCCCTCCGCTAGAGGGCTGAACTGTCAGCAGTGCTGAGTGTGGAGGCCCCTCCTGAGCCAGGCATCCGGGCAGCTCTCAGGCCCTTGGCAGAAGGTGGATGTCAGTCCAGGCTTGGAGTTATGTCCCGGTCACCTGCCCCTCTGACCCAGGCAGGGAGACTCATTTCTCAGAGCACTTGAGACAGAGCCCAGCCCTTGGGTGGAGGTCAGCAAAGTTGCCATTGGCCCCTGGGTCTTGTAGGGAGATGTATTTCTAACACGTTGAGGGTGACCGTGTGGATTAGGCCTTGTGTTCAGAGGCTGGTCTGTTTCGGGGTGGTTGGTCCCTGTGCAGAGGCTGGTCTGTTTGGGGGTGGGTGGTCCTTGTGTTCAGAGGCTGGTCTGTTTCAGGGTGAGTGGTCCTTGTGTTCAGAGGCTGGTCTGTTTCAGGCTGGGTGGTCCTTGTGTTCAGAGGCTGGTCTATTTCAGGCTGGGTGGTCCTTGTGTTCAGAGGCTGGTCTATTTTGGGGTGGTTGGTCCCTGTGCAGAGGCTGGTCTGTTTCGGGGTAGGTGGTCCTCTCCCTGTGTGCAGAGGCTGGTCTGTTTCGGGGTGGGTGGTCCTTGTGTGCAGAGGCTGGTCTGTTTCGGGGTGGGTGGTCCTTGTGTGCAGAGGGTTTCGGGGTAGGTGGTCCTTGTGTTCAGAGGCTGGTCTGTTTTGGGGTGAGTGGTCCTTGTGTTCAGAGGCTGGTCTGTTTTGGGGGGGGTGGTCCTTGTGTGCAGAGGCTGGTCTGTTTCGGGGTGGGTGGTCCTTGTGTGCAGAGGCTGGTCTGTTTCGGGGTGGGTGGTCCTTGTGTGCAGAGGCTGGTCTGTTTCAGGGTGGGTCATCCTCGCTCCCTTTTCCTCAACTGCTTGCCTCCTGGATGCTTCTGCTTTTCTGTCCTGCCAGCATTCAGGCAAGAGACTGGGTGTCAGGCCTGTCAGGGCAGTTTAGTGGGGGCCATGACTGCCAGTTCTTTTTTTTTTTTTTTTTTGAGACAGGGTCTCCTTCTGCCTCCCAGGCTGGAGTGCAGTGGCACAATCACAGCTCACTGCAGCCTTGACCTCCTGGGCTCATTTGATCTCCTGCCTCAGCCTCCCGAGTAGCTGGGACTATAGGCGCATGCCACCACACCCCACTAATTTTTGTATTTGTTTTGTAGAGATGGGGTCTCACTATGTTGCCCAGGCTGGTCTCTAATCCTAACTCCTGGGCTCAGGCAATCTGCCGGCCTCAGCCTCTCAAAGTGCTGGGATTACAGACATGAGCCACTTTACCTGGCCTGCTCATAGGTTTTGACTGTGTGGTTTAAATTTCTTTAGCACAGATAATCAACTATTGACTTTAATTTTTTTTTATTTTAAATTAGACCCTGAAGGAAGACTGGGAATCTGAAAAAGATTTATGTTTAGAAAATCTACGCAAAGAATTGTCTGCAAAGCATCAGTCAGAAATGGAGGATTTACAAAACCAGTTTCAGAAAGAATTGGCAGAACAGAGAGCTGAGTTGGAGAAGATTTTTCAAGACAAAAACCAGGCTGAATGTGAGTAATGAGAATGAGAAAGTTTGGAGTGGGACTGAGTTTTCCTGGGTAGTACTGGAAGGAATGTCGTTCATGTCACCATGTGTCATTGCGCACACGAAATGCCTTCTAAATGCTGAATGGCTCCATGCACATGTGACATGCTGGTGGCCGTCAGGGGTCACAGGTCTCTCAGGGTCCTTAAACCTTCCCGATCTTTGTTTCAGAGATTTTTCTTGGCATGTTCAGTTGCTAAATTATTATCAAAGCAGCAGCGTTGTGCTTGTTCACTTTTGAAACTCTAGGGTTGTGTGTTCCAATGTGACCCTCCTGGTGGGTGGCATGGGTAGGCGATGTCCCCTTGCGCTATCAGGCATGTGAGGCTCAAATGAGGGGCCCGGGGGAGGTGGGGGTGCCCAGGATGGGGCTCTGGGTGGCAGCGCTCTGCATGCGCCATTATTGCCACTGAGGTCGCCGTTGAGGAGAGTGATGTCTTGTAAACCAAGTGGCGTTGCTTTACCTTTCTAGCGGCCCTTAGGAACCTGGAGAGTCAACATCAAGCAGCCATTGAGAAGTTACGTGAAGACCTGCAGTCCGAGCACTGCCGGTGTTTAGAAGACTTGGAGTTCAAGTTCAAAGAGGGCGAAAAAGAAAAACAGCTGGAGGTGGGTAGCAGCCTGGTTATTTTAATTACTTGGTGGTGGGTAGCAGCTTCGTTATTTTAATTACTTGGTATATTAGGGATTTTTGTTGTTTGTTTGTTTGTTTTTGAGACGGAGTCTCGCTCTGTCGCCCAGGCTGGAGTGCAGTGGCTGGATCTCAGCTCACTGCAAGCTCCGCCTCCCGGGTTTACACCACTCTCCTGCCTCGGCCTCCCGAGTAGCTGGGACTACAGGCGCCCGCCACCTCGACCGGCTAGTTTTTTTTGTATTTTTTTAGTAGAGACGGGGTTTCACCGTGTTAGCCAGGATGGTCTCAATCTCTTGACCTTGTGATCCGCCCGTCTCGGCCTCCCAAAGTGCTTGGATTACAGGCTTGAGCCACCGTGCCCGGCCTATTAGGGGTGTTTTAACAGATTTTGGAATTGGGCTATTTCATATTATGTTATTTGCTAAAACTTAAGTACTAAGTTTAAAGAGACTGTCTGGGCACAGTGGCTCACGCCTGTAATTCTAGCACTTTGGGAGGCCAAGGCGGGCAGATTATGAGGTCAGGGGTTTGAGACAAAAATTAGCCAGGCGTGGTGGCGGGCATCTGTAATCCCAGCTACTCGGGAGACTGAGGCACGAGAATTGCTTGAACCTGGGAGGTGGAGGTTGCAGTGAGCTGAGATCACACCACTGCACTCCAGCCTGGGTGACAGAGCGAGCCTCCATCTCAAAAATAAATAAATAAATAAAATAAAATAAATTAAAAAATAGAAAGACTGTCAGTGGTGAATAAAAGGGTAAGCATATAGTCTGCGAGAGTGATTTAATAATTATGTTCAGTCTTATACTTAGAAATGCATATTCTTTACAGGTGTCCCTGAGACAGTTACACAAATTTCAAACACTAGGTAGGAGTGTAAGGCCACATCCTCTAACAGTAATCCAGTACACATGAGATTCCTAGGAAAAGTTAGCAAACATTTCTGCTGTGTGTATTCAAGATGCTTCTCTAATGAAACGCTACATGTCAAAATGTCGATGTGGCCAGGTCCTCACTGGAGGCCTGACAAACCTGAGACTCAAACTGAGTATCCCAAGAATTAGTTAAAGAAATTAAAGCATAAATCAGAGATAGGGTTAATCGTGGTGTGTGAAAGATTTACAAACCTGAGAATACGGAAGTAGTTGGGGTCTGTAGTCTTAGAGAGGCTTGTCTTGGGCCCCTTGTGTCTCCCAGTGGGCCTCTGGTGCCCACATACCCTCCTCTTCTGCAGAGAGTCTAGGCCGGGGCTCACTCCACACCCCCATTCTCTCCCTGGGCCCTTCCAGGCTCTCCCTCCCAGATGGGAAAGAGGGGACCGGTAGCATCTTCTGGTCCTGATGCTTGTGATGGGGAAAGGTAGGAGGGGCCGTTTCCACGAGAAGGACAGGCCAGCCCCAGGTGCAGCGTTGCCCAGGAGGACATCACTCTGTGCCGCGCTGGGCTGGGCTCTTGCTGAACGTACAGAGAAATTTAGTGTCAGTGTAAGAGGGACCTGCTTCCTTAATGTAAAAGTATTGAAAGTGAGAAACTCCCTGTTTGGTAGTCTTGGGTACTGTGGGCTAGTAAGACTCCCTCCATTCCATTCAGCAGTCTGTGTGTGTGACCCTAAACTGAAGCAGGGCGGTGCACAAGATGAAACCGCACAGCTGCGGCTGGCATGGAACCTGGCCGTGCCAACTCCTCGGCTGAGACAAACAGACCTGGAAGTTCCTGAGATTCTGAAAGTGCCTGGCCTCGTGGGGCCAGCACTGACTGATCCCACTTGTCATGGACAGAGCTCTCTTGGTCTCTGCTGTGGCTGGCTTTCTCTGAGCTGCAGGTTTGGGATATGAGCTTTTACCCTGAGGATCGCAGTGGCAGGGATAAAACCACTGCTGGGGTGGGGGCCTTGAGCTCATGAGAGTCTCACCTGGACGCTTTGCTTTTTCCAGTTAGAGAATCTTCAGGCATCGTATGAAGACCTGAAGGCACAGTCACAAGAAGAGATCAGGCGCTTGTGGTCCCAGCTTGATTCTGCCAGGACCAGTAGACAGGAATTGAGTGGTAAGGAATTGTGTTGGGAAATTCAGATCCTCCAAAGCTGAAGCTGTGCATTTTTCATTGTTGTAACCCTAAGCCAGAATTTAACAATTCTAGCAAACACAAAAAAGTGGATTTACCTGCTTGACATCCTGAAGGTTGAGGTGCATGGTTTGAAGGTGGAGGTTTGCTTTGTGGGAGACAGCCCTGGCTTTATGCTAAGCAGATCAGTGCAGCAGTGGCGTGCACCTGTGCGTCCCTCAAGGCCGAGACTGACACTCTCGGGGTGCCTTCAAGTCTAAGGAAAGCACCAATGGTGTGGAGCGTTTGCCTCGGAAGGATGGTTGAGTGCTGTCCAAGAGTGGGCTCACCTGGTGTCTGGGGTCACAGGGCAGTGCCCCACATCCTGCTGCCAGGCTCCTGTGGCCCCAGCTCTCCAGGCTACTTGGTGAAGGCAGCTCTGGTCCCGGTGTCCCCTTATAGCTGAGCGCCTCTGGAGACCCCGACCCCAGGCCCGCTGTTCCATGTCAGAGGTCTCTGTGCCACGGGGAGGATGGTGCTTGAGAGCAGGGGCTGGCCAAGCCCAATTCAGGCACTGGCACCCAGGGCCACAGGACAGGAGGGTGAACCACTGCGTGTCTCCTGGTGCTCATGCGCAGACAGAGCCTTCTGGCCCAACTTGTCCTTGTGGGTGGTGGGATTTGGAACAAAGAGCACTGAGGAGAAAGAACTGGAGACACTGCCACTGTCACCAGGGCACCAGGCCTGGCTCCACCTCCCAGCCCTGCACCCTGTCGGGACCATGTCGAGAGCATGTCGATTTACCTTTCCCTGGGGGTCTGTCTGTCACTGGAGGCTGGAGAAGAGAGAAGCTGAAGGGGCCACAGGCACAGCTGGTCCCTGCAGGCTCTGGCTCTGGCCCTGGCTTGGTCCTCTGCTTGTCTCTGTCCTGCCTCTTGGGACCCATGCAGAGAACCCCGATTTGCCGTCTCTGGGGTGCCTGTCGCTGGCTGTCAGCCACTGTAGAGCAGCGGGCTGTATTCTGACCACAGTAGTCATGGGGACACGTTCTCTTAGGGTCCGTGGTGCTTCTCTGCTGCTGTGTAACAAATTATCACAAACTTGGTTGCCTAAAACAACACAATTGTTAGCTTACAGAAAGTCCAGGATGGTGCAGCTGGGTTTTCTGTCCAGGGTCCCCCATAGCCCACATCCAGGTATCAGCCGTCGTGTGCCAACCTGATGAGCCTGCTTCTGGGTTTGAGGTTGGTCTGGATCCAGTTTCCTGGGGCTGCAGGACTATTGGCTGTCTCCTTGCTGACGGTGCGCACCACATCCCTGCCACTTCGAGGGCTGCTCTTGCTCCCGGCCCCGTGGCTCTTGCCACCGCTTCCAGAGAGCTCTCCACGTTCAGGGGCATATGCGAGTCTGAGCCGCGGGGTCCCTCATCACTCTCAGGTTCTGGGATGGGCCCTTTTCCGAGTTCTGCCCCTGGTTACCACAGGTAACCAGGCTCTTGCCTCTCGCCTGGCTTGTTCTGCGTGTCCCATTTTAAGATGATTGCCTGACTCCATTGTGTATGCAGAGCTACATGAGCAACTCCTGGCGCGAGCCTCTCACGTGGAAGATTTAGAGCAGCTGAAACAGCGAGAAAAAACCCAGCACGAGTCCGAACTGGAGCAACTGAGGATTTATTTTGAAAAGAAATTAAGGGATGCCGAGAAAACTTACCAGGAAGACCTAACCCTGTTGCAACAGAGGCTGCAGGGGGCGAGTGAAGATGCTCTTCTGGACCCCGTGGAAGTTGGGTACGCAAAGCAGCTTCCAGCCTCAGTTCCGGCCGCACAGGGGCCGGGCTCCAAGTTCAGGGGTCATTTTGTTGGTGATTTTGTGCCAGTGGGCACCAGTGGCCTTTTATACACACACATTTTATGGTCCAGACTCAAAAGATGACACAGGCGTGGGCACCTGAGCGTGGCCTGCATGTGTGTGTGCGCGAGCTGTTGGTGGCCACACTCTCGTCCAGGCCTGTGTGTACGTGTTGGTGAGGGACGCGCTCTCATCCAGGCCAGCGCGTGCGTGTGCATGAGTCAGTGGGCACACTCTTGTCCAGGCCAGCGTGCGTGGGTGTGTTGGTGGCAGGGGTGCTCTCCTCCAGGCCTGTGTGTGCTTGTGTCAGTGGTGGCCACACTCTCGTCCAGGCCTGTGTGTATATGTTGGTGGTGGACGCTCTCTCGTCCAGGCCAGTGTGTGCGTGTGTATCAGTGGCAGGGGCGCTCTCCTCCAGGCCTGCATATCTGTGAGTCAGTGATGGGCGCACTCTTGTCCAGGCCTGTGCGTCCCTGTGCTGTGTCCCTGGTGTGTGTGTGTGTGTGTGTGTGTCAGTCAGTGGTGGGCACGCTGTCTTCCAGGCCTGCGTGTCCCTGTGCTGTGTCCCTAGTGTGTGTGTGTGTGTGTGTGTGAGAGAGTGTGAGTCAGTGACAGGCGCACTCTTGTTCAGGTCTGCGTGTCCCTGTGCTGTGTCCTTGGTGTGTGTGTGTGTGTCAGTGACAGGCATACTCTCGTCCAGGTCTGTGTGTCGTGTGTGTGTGTGTGTCGTGTGTGTGTGTGTGTGAGAGAGTCAGTGGTGGGCACACTCTCTTCTAGGTCTGTGTGTCATGTGTATGTGCGTGAGAGAGAGAGAGAGTCAGTGGCGGGCACACTCTATTCCAGGTCTGCGTGTCCCTATGCTGTGTCCCTGGCTTTGCAACTGCCACGGCTCCCTGCACGTGGGCATTGCCCGTCCTTGACTGGAAGCGTGAGGAGGCACTTCTGCTGTGAACAGTCGGTCCTGGGGAGGAAATGGAGCGCACATGGAAAAGGGACATGTGTGTAAAGTTTTTATAAAATGTTTTCCTTTCAGGTTGTCCTGTGTGGGTTTAGAAGAGAAACCTGAGAAAGGAAGAAAAGATCACGTTGATGAACTCGACCCTGAGCGACATAAGGTAATTGGCCGCACGCTGAGAAGAGGGAGAGTCCTGTGCTCTTGACCTTCCAGCTGGGCGTCTTCCACATTATGGAGCCTGTGTTTCCATCCCTCCCGCCTTGTCCAGGGGAGGAAGGCTGCTTGCGGATGCTGCCCCGACCTCACTGCTGCTCCACGGTGGGCCTTACCGTGCACTGTTTGATCAGGAAAGGGGGTGGCTGGGGGAGCCGGAGCCCCTCCCTCAGCCCCGGGATGCCCTGGCTTGGGCAGGGCCTCCTCCCTGCAGTGGACTGCGTTTGTCAGACTTGACAGTGGCAGTTCGAAGGGTGTGAAATTGTGTCTTTGCTTTGAGTACACACAGTGTCTGCTGGCTTTTGTGTTTCTTCCTTGAGTTGCTTCCATGCTGCCATTTCTGTCAGCTTTAACTTCTGTGGGGCAGTGCTGTCCAAGCAGAACTTCTGGGATGATAGAGTTCTGGGTCTGTGCTGCCAGCGTGGTGCCCACCAGTACACGTGACTGTGGAGTGCTTGCTGTGCAGCATGAGCAAGCCCAGCGTCGGGCTCCAGAGGACACGCAGGAGGGCAGGGAGGAGATGTAGGAGCAGCACTGCATGGCTTGTTGCACGGTGGAACCAGTGGAAGGGAACCCAGGGCATCTTGGCCCAGCGGCCAGGAGCCCTCACTCTGGAGCAGGGTCCCTGGGCCTGCTGGAGAGCACGACCAGGAGCCCTCACTGGAGCGGGGTCCCAGGCCTGCTGGAGGCCACAGGGTGGCCAGGCAGGGTAGCAGCGGGCTGTGCGCCAGTTTGAGTTCCCTGCAAAGCAGACCCCAAGACAGAATTCGCTGCACAAGAGGCTCTGGGGGAAACGCCAGAGAAGGGCAAGGGCCCAGCTGGAACAGGCAGCCAGGACCTTCCCATGAGCAGGCCCTGCCCTGGAGAGAGAATCCGGGAAGGGGTGGGGTGGGCAGCCCCACCAGGTGTCCCTGTATCACCTGAGAGCCAACCCCTGCCTCTGTGCGTGGGTGTGATGAGGACACAGCTGTTAGTGGGCGGTGGTCACAGGAGGCTGGCCTTGAGAAGAGAGCCCAGCCCTGAGATGTGAGGCCACCAGCAGAGACGCGAGGGGCACATGCCCTACTGACCTTGCTGCTGAGATCATTGAGGAGAGGTCTGCCCAGTCCAGGGCTCTTCCCCCGCTGGAGAGCACCCTGTCAGTGCCAGCAGTTCGTGTATGTCTTCCGGAGGCCTGGCTAAGAGACAGGTGTGGGCTGGAGAGCGTGTGAGCATGCCTGTGGGCTGGCAGGGTTCACCAGGGCGCCGCGTGTGGTCTCATGAACCTGGTGAGGTTTGAGTTTTCTTTGTGCGTAGTGGGAAACACCTTTGAGGGTTATAGCTGCCAGCGAGGTAGCTCGGCTCACTGATGTGCTTGTCCACGTGGTTTCTCTGTAGGAGAGCCTGCCATGCTTCCAGGCAGAGTTAGAAGAAAGCCACAGGCACCTGTTGGAAGCGCCAGAGTCTCCCCTCTGCATCCAGCATGAGGGGCACGTCTCAGACAGATGCTGTGCGGAGACTTCAGCATTGGGACCGGGGTGGCATCTGGAGCCCTCCGAAGGGCGCAGCCAAGGTGGGCCCCTCCCGCCCTGCCATGGTGTCGGCAGATCCTGGGTCTGGGGGACGTTCTCCGAGAGCCTGGGAGCCTGGGTTCGATCCAAGTCCTCCATGAAGCAGCTGAGTGCTCCGACCTCTTCTGCTGGGGTTGGCACCTCAACAGAGTGTGTCCTGATGAGGGTTTGGTGTTAGAGCGGGATCACTGGCTGGGCAGGAGCGCGGGTCCTGGGCCAGCGCCCCAGCAGGGCAGGTCTGACCTGGGTGGCCACCCTGGGGGTCATGGGGATTGCTGGATGGACGTGGTGACCACTCACCTTTGGAGGGAGAATGTGTGTCCACTGGGCCCAGGGGAGGCTTTTCCAGGACCCTGCTCTGCTCCCAGCAGGCCCAGCTCCCCCAACTCACCTAGTCAGGCTAAGGTTGTGGGATGTCCAGGCAGGGCACAGGGCACAGGGCTGTGGGGTCAGAAGGGGACGGAGAGGAAACCTCAGTCATCTCACAGTTGTGGTCCCGTGGCGCCAGACACTGACCACTCACGGGTTCCAGGAGGGGCAGGCAGCCCTGGCCACTGGCGTGGACTGTGCTGATGGTGGGGCTGGCGTCCATGGTGGGGGTGAGGGGCTGAGGCCATGGGTCCTGTTGGGAGGTGGGTGGTCTGACTCCACTCTGGGCTGTGGCCAAGGTGAGAGAAGCCTGGGCCTCCTTCAAGCTGGAGGGTGGTGCAGCGGTGCCTGCATCTGGTTCTCACTCCCGTCTGTCCTGCACCACAGCTGTCCCCACAGCCGCCCCTTGATATGCATGGTTGTCGGCGCCACTGGTGCCTGGCCACCACGTAGTCCATTCTGCCTTTTTCCTCTTCTGCAGAGGAAGAAATGCAGGGGTAGCGTGCCCGGGCACAGAGCAGCAGGGGGAGGGGCTGGGACGGGAACCCTGGCGGGCCCCTGAGCTCAAGGCCCTGTCCTTGTGGCTGCCTCATAGACCCTGAGTGACACACATGTGCCCACATCTGGTCACAGGCATGAGGCTCACTCAGGAACTCGTGGAGGGTCACTTGTCAAACCTGACATGAAGGAGTGGCCTGGGCGGGCCGTGTAACTGTCGTGTGGGCCCAGGACATCGCTGTGACTCAGGACGGGGCTGTGCTGGGGCAGCATGGAGGTGTCCCAAAAGGGAGGGGAGACTTGAGAGAGCCGTGCCTGCTTTCTTTTTTTTTTTTTTTTTTTTTTTTTTTGAGACGGAGTCTCGCTCTG